TATATGAGGGATGAATTACTATATGGGGGATGAAATACTATATGAGGGATGAAATACTATATGAGGGATGAAATACTATATGGGGGATGAAATACTATATGGGGGATGAAATACTATACGGGGGATGAAATACTATACGAGGGATGAAATACTATACGGGGGATGAATTGCTATGGGGGATGAATTACTATATGGGGATGAATTTACTATGGGGGATGAATTACTATATGGGGGATGAATTACTATGGGGGATGAATTACTATGGGGGATGAATTACACTATGGGGGATGAATTACACTATGGGGGATGAATTACTATATGGGGGATGAATTACTATGGGGGATGAATTACTATATGGGAGATGTATTTTCAGTTTTAAAAATGTGGCTCTCAAAATAAATTTCAATCATGGTTTTGGCGAGATTTGGCTCAGTTGAAAAAAAAGGTTGCCACACCACTGCCCTAAACCAACTCCTAACCCTCAATGTAACCCCTAAACCAAATCCTAACCCTCAATGTAACCCCGAAACCAAATCCTAACCCTCAATGTAACCCCTAAACCAAATCCTAACCCTCAATGTAACCCCGAAACCAACTCCTAACCCTCAATGTAACCCCTAAACCAAATCCTAACCCTCAATGTAACCCCTAAACCAAATCCTAACCCTCAATGTAACCCCTAAACCAAATCCTAGCCCTCAATGTAACCCCTAAACCAAATCCTAACCCTCAATGTAACCCCTAAACCAAATCCTAACCCTCAATGTAACCCTAAACCAAATCCAACCCTCAATGTAACCCCTAAACCAAATCCTTACCCTCAATGTAACCTCTAAACCAAATCCTCAACCCTCAATGTAACCCCTAAAACCAAATCTCAATAACCCTCAATGTAACCCCTAAACCAAATCCTAACCCTCAATGTAACCCCTAAACCAAATCCTAACCCTCAATGTAACCCCTAAACCAAATCCTAACCCTCAATGTAACCCCTAAACCAAATCCTAACCTAACTCAATGTAACCCCTAAACCAAATCCTAACCCTCAATGTAACCCCTAAACCAAATCCTAACCTCCATGTAACCCCTAAACCAAATCCTAACCCTCAATGTAACCCCTAAACCAAATCCTAACCCTCAATGTAACCCCTAAACCAAATCCTAACCTCCAATGTAACCCCTAAACCAAATCCTAACCCTCAATGTAACCCCTAAACCAAATCCTAACCCTCAATGTAACCCCTAAACCAAATCCTAACCCTCAATGTAACCCCTAAACCAAATCCTTACCCTCAATGTAACCCCTAAACCAAATCCTAACCCTCAATGTAACCCCTAAACCAAATCCTAACCCTCAATGTAACCCCTAAACCAAATCCTAACCCTCAATGTAACCCCTAAACCAAATCCTAACCCTCAATGTAACCCCTAAACCAAATCCTAACCCTCAATGTAACCCTAAACCAAATCCTAACCCTCAATGTAACCCCTAAACCAAATCCTAACCCTCAATGTAACCCCTAAACCAAATCCTAACCCTCAATGTAACCCCTAAACCAAATCCTAACCCTCAATGTAACCCCTAAACCAAATCCTAACCCTCAATGTAACCCCTAAACCAAATCCTAACCCTCAATGTAACCCCTAAACCAAATCCTAACCCTCAATGTAACTCCTAAACCAAATCCTAACCCTCAATGTAACCCCTAAACCAACTCCTAACCCTCAATGTAACCCCTAAACCAAATACTAACCCTCAATGGACTTCCAATGGTCCTCACAGCCATGCTGTAACTTCTAGAGTTCGCAGTAATGGCGCTGGGTGCGTCCCCTGCCCTGAAGATGGCTGACGCTGTGTCTTGTCACCAACTACTTGAGTGCTAACAGGACTCTAATACTTGCCTGCCAGTTGCCTGCTTGTTGCTGACCCAGACTGGCTACTTTCTCGCCTGTTGCCTGCCTCAGCCTTGGCTTGGACCCAATTACTCTCAACAGTCCCTGCACCGTAGTCCCTCGTGTTTCAGCCCCTTAGTGGATCGATCCTGACGGCCGCGACGTGGGGTCAGTTTGCAGAAAAGTAAAATGGGACCACTACGGTTCCCATCTCCACCATCAGGAGCTCTGGTGAAATCCAGCCAGCATGTAGATTCCACACCCTGGGTGAGCCCCCATCAGCCAAGGGACACTAAGGCTAGGGTTAGGTGGGCTGCAACATGGCCACGCCTCTGAAAAGCAGTCCATGTTCAGATCTCTTTTCAGAGGCGTTTGACAGGTAGATGTGACACCTCCTCACCGCCCGTTTTAACCCTGTAAGTTCCACACCACTGCACCGCAGCTACATTGCACGCTGCTGGGAGGGGATCTATTGTTGCTAGAAGGTCTATTGTTGCTGCGGGGAGTCTATTGTTGCTGTGGAGGGTCTATCGTTGCTGAGGGATCTATTGTTTCAGGAGGTGTCCATAGGTGCTGGGAGGTATCTATTGTTGTGGAAGGGGAGGGGATCTATTGTTGCTAGAAGGTATATTGTTGCTGTGAGTGATCTATTGTTGCTGGTGGGGGTATCTATTATTGCTGTGGGGAGTCTATTGTTGCTCTGGAGGGTCTATCGTTGCTGAGGTATCTATCGTTTCTGAAGGATCCACAGGTGCTGGGAGGGATCTGTTGCTGGGGGGATTTTATGCTGCTGGGAGATCAATTGTTGATGGTGAGAGATCTACTGTTGAGGGAGGCATCTATTGTTACTGGCTGCTGGAGGGACTATTGATGCTGTGAGTGGTCTATTTTTGCTGGGGAGACCTATTGTTTCTGGGGGGAGTCTATCATTGCTGAGAGGGATCTGTTGTTTCTGGATGATCCATAGGTGCTGGGAGGGATTTATTGTTGCTGGGGGGAAAAAATAGATCTATTGTTGCTGGGAGACCTATAGTTGCTGGGGGGTTCTATCATTGCTGAGAGGGATCTGTTCTTTCTGAAGGATCCATAGGTGCTGTGAGGGATGTATTGTTGCTGGGAAACCTATAGGTGCTTGGAGGGCTGGATGGGATATATAGTTGCTGAGAGGGATCTATTGTTTCTGAAGGATCCATTGTTGTTGGGAGGGCTCTATTGTTGCAGGGGATCTATTGCTGCTAGAAGGGATCTATTGTTGCTGGAAGAGCTCTATTGTTGCTTGGGGCTATCGTTGCTGGAAGGGATCTATTGTTGCTGGGAGAGCTCTACTGCAGATGTAGGGATCTGTTGCTGCTGTAGTAGATCTTTGGTTGCTGGGAGGGCTCTTTTGTTGCAGGGGATCTATTGCTGATGGGAGGGATCTATTGTTGCTTGGGGCTATCATGGCTGGAAGGGATCTATTGTTGCTAGGGGCTATTGTTGCGGGAAGGGATCTATGGTTGCTGGAATGGATATATGATTGCTGTGGGTATATATTGCTGCTGGGAGGGATCTGTGGTTGCTGGGAGGGATCTATTGTTGCTGTGGGGATCTATTGATGCTTGGAGGGATCTATGGTTTCTGGGAGGGCTCTATTGCTTCTAGGGAGGGTATATGGTTGCTAGGAGAGCTCTATTGTTGCTGTGGGGATCTATGGTTGCTGGGAAGGATCTATGGTTGCTGTGGGGATCTATTGCTGCTGGGAGGGATCTATGGTTGCTAGGAGAGCTCTATTGTTGCTGTGGGGATCTATTGCCGCTGGGAGGGATCTATGGTTTCTGGGAGGAGATCTATCTATGGTTGCTGTGAGGGATCTATTGGTGTTGTGGGGGATCTATCTATGGTTGCTAGGAGAGCTCTATTGTTGCTGTGGGGATCTATTGGTGTTGTGGAGGATCTATGGTTGCTGGGAGGGCTATATTTTTGCTGTGGGGATCTATTGCCGCTGGGAGGGATCTATGGTTTCCGGGAGAGATCTATGGTTGCTGTGAGGGATCTATTGGTGTTGTGGGGGATCTATGGTTGCTGGGAGGGCTCTATTTTTGCTGTGGGGATCTATGGTTGCTGGGAGGGATCTATTGTTGTAGGGGATCTATTTTACAGCCTTTCATTAACTTCCATTCCAATTAATTTTCATTTAATTAATTTAATTCCAATTAAATTCCATGGCGCTCAAAGTTGTGTGGGGGCGGAGACAAGGGAAGGAGGAGTGCCCGCCCCTATTCATAGAGGAATCAGAAGCCCTGCTTCCCCCCATCTCCATCGCACTCCATGTTGTGTTCCTGGAAGTCGTCCTCCGAGAGGCGAATCGACGAATCGTCTGCAGAGACGCAGCGCTCCCGGAATTTGCATCCAGCGATGGAACAATATTTGTCTTGTGAACGTCGCCTGCTGCTCGCACTTGTTCTTCCCGACCATTTTGTAACGCAGAGAAGCTGCAGCGGGAACACGACTTCGCTATCATTGCGCAATTTTATATCTTAACTAGATGACAAATAAAACCCGACCGCCGCTCCGTCTTCGCCCTCCGCGTCCTGCGGGGGAATAATTATTCTGCGTTCTCCAGGCGCGGCGTCACAACCATTATCTATCCATCTATTAGGTGACGATTAGGGGGGGAGGGGACCTGCCAGATGGATTCATATATATGTGTGACGGGCGCAGAGGAGCGCCATTGGACACGCAAAGCGATATTTGTACCTGGAAAGCGCCAGGAAACGACGCGAAACGTTCTTGGATAGATCCTGCGGCGGGTCGGGGACGGCACATCTGCCAGCTGGTCCAGGATCAGAGCCAGCCTTGTATTGGGCATGCAGAACACGCACCGCGCTTGCCTTGTACTCAGCGCGGCAAGACGGCGACTTCTCACGGTGCGCCCTAATGGTGCCGCACTTATCGCATGTTCTGTTATAGCGTGACACCGTCCCTGGTAACATGGCGGCCATCTGCAGCCGTCTACAGGAAAGGAAAAATGTTCCCGTACAGTGCAGCTACCCCAGCAATGCAAGAGTCACATGACCATTTGGGTATATATATATATACACATACACACTATATTGCCCAAAGTATTACCACCCCCCTCCATATCATGTGATTTAGGTGTCCCAATCCCAATATCAGGTCCCCAATCCCCTCCCAATCATGTGATTCAGGTGTTCCAATCCCCTCCCAATCATGTGACTCAGGTGTTCCAATCCCCTCCCATCATGTGATTCAGGTGTTCCAATCCCCTCCCCAATCATGTGATTCAGGTGTTCCAATCCCATCCCAATCAATCATGATTCAGGTGTTCCAATCCCCTCCATATCATGTGATTCAGGTGTTCCAATCATGTGATTCCCTCCCCCAATCATGTGATTCAGGTGCTCCAATACCCTCCATATCATGTGATTCAGGTGTTCCAATCCCCTCCATATCATGTGATTCAGGTTCCAATCCCCTCCATATCATGTGATTCAGGTGTTCCAATCCCCTCCATACCATGTGATTCAGGTGTTCCAATCCCCTCCATACCATGTGATTCAGGTGTTCCAATCCCTCCATATCATGTGATTCAGGTGTTCCAATCCCCTCCCAATCATGTGATTCAGGTGCTCCAATCCCCTCCATATCATGTGATTCAGGTGTTCCAATCCCCTCCCAATCATGTGATTCAGGAGTTCCAATCCCCTCCATATCATGTGATTCAGGAGTTCCAATCCCCTCCATATCATGTGATTCAGGTGTTCCAATCTTCTCACAATCATGTGATTCAGGTGTTCCAATCCCCTCCATGGACACAGGTGTATACAATCAAGCCCCTAGGCATGCAGACGGCTTCTACAAACATTGGTGAAAGAATGGGTCGCTCTCAGGAGCTCAGTGACTCCAAGCGTGGTCCCGTGATAGGTGGCCACCTGGGCAATAAGTCCATCCATGACATTTCCTGGCTACTAAATATTCCACGCTCAACTGTTAGTGGGATTATAACAAAGTGGAAGCTACTGGGAACAACAGCCACTCAGCCACCAAGTGGTAGGCCACGTCACATGACAGGGCGGGGTCAGCGCATGCTGAAGCGCACAGTGCGCAGAAGTCACCAACTGTCTGCAGAGTCAATAGCTAAAGACCTCCAAACTTGGTGTGGCCTTCAGATGAGCCCAACAACAGTGCGTAGAGAGCTCCATGGAATGGGTTTCCATGGCCGAGCAGCTGCATCCAAGCCTTCCATCACCAAGTGCAATGCAAAGCGTTGGATGCCGTGGTGTAAAGCACGCCGCCACTGGACTCTAGAGCAGTGGAGATGTGTTCTCTGGAGGGACCAATCATGCTTCTCTGGCAATTCGATGGACGTGTCTGGGTTTGGCTGTGGCCAGGAGAACGGTACTTGACTGATCGCATTGTGCCAAGTGTAAAGTTTGGTGGAGGGGGGATTATGAAGTGGGGTTGTATTTCAGGGGTTGGGCTTGGCCCCTAGTTCCAGCGAAGGGAACTCTTAAGGCGACATTTTGGACAATTTCATGCTCCCAACTTTGTGGGAAGAGTTTGGGGATGGCCCCTTCCTGTTCCAACATGACTGCGCACCAGTGCACAAAGCAAGGTCCATAAAGACATGGAGGAGCCAGCTTGGGGTGGAGGAACTTGACTGTCCTGCACAGAGTCCTGACCTCAACCCCATAGAACACCTTTGGGATGAATTAGAGCGGAGACTGCGAGCCAGGCCTCCTCCCCCGACATCAGTGCCTGACCTGACAAATGTGCTTCTGGAAGAATGGTCCAACCTTCCCATAGACACCCTCCTAAACCTTGTGGACGGCCTTCCCAGAAGAGGCAAAGGGCGGGGCCAACTCAATATTGAACCCTACGGACTAAGACTGGGGGGCCATTAAAGGTCATGTGCGTGGAAAGGGCGGGGCCAACTCAATATTGAACCCTACGGACTAAGACTGGGGGGCCATAAAGGTCGTGTGCGTGGAAAGGGCGGGGCCAACTCAATATTGAACCCTACGGACTAAAACTGGGGGGCCATTAAAGGTCATGTGTGTGGAAAGGGAGGGGCCAACTCAATATTGAACCCTACGTAAGACTGGGGGGCTTAAAGACGTGGGTGGAAAGGGGCCCATCAATACAACCCTACGGACTAAGACTGGGGGGCATTAAAGGTCATGTGTGTGGAAAGGGCGGGGCCAACTCAATATTGAACCCTACGGACTAAGACTGGGGGGCCATGAAGGGTCATGTGTGTGGAAAGGGTGGGGCCCGATACTTGGGGCAATATAGTGTGTATACAGATGCCGGCTCAGGGATCGCACAGTCATGTCAGTCCCGGTGTCGGTGCAGTTCTTGTACAAGAGCTTTATGAGGGTATTTTTATGGCTGAAGAGGAGAACTGATGAGGAATTTGGAGGAATTCTTGTATTGTGGTTGTTCTGCATTAAAGCCGATCTACAGTGTATGTGAGCACCACAACCGAAAACTCCATTTAATTCATTCTAATATTCAAAGTAACCCCTCATCCATTCATCCATTTCTCATCCATTTCTCCATCCATCCATGTCTCCATCCATCCCTCCATCCATCCTCTCCATCCCTCCCATCCATGTCTCCACCCATCCATCCATGTCTCTCCCTCCATTCATGTCTCCATTCATGTCATCTCCATCCATCTATCCATTCATGTCTCCATCCCTGTCTCCATCCCTCTAGCATTGTCTTCATCCATCCATGTCTCCACTCAGCCATCCATGTCTCCATCCACAATGTCTCCATCCATTCATCCATGTCTCCATCCATGTCTCCATCCATACATACAGCCATGTCTCCACCCATCTCATCCATGTTTCCACCCATGTCTCCATCCATCCATACATACATACATCCATGTCTCCACCCATCCCACCCATCATCCATGTCTCCATCCCTCTATCCATGTCTTCATCCATGGGGGACAAATACAGTATTTATGCTGGGAGGGGGGATTTCAGCAGGGGGGCAGATTTGTACTAGTAGGAGGGGGAATTTATGCTTAGGGGTAAGCATGCAGTTTAGAAATTGATTTTTTTTTTGGGGGGGGGGGATTTTTGCTGACACATAATGCTCATACATCTTGGGGGGGGGGGGGGGGGGCAATTTGTCATGTTCTCCTCAGGCTCTAGGTGACCTTGTCCCGGCACTGGGTGTGACAGGTTTCATGGATCATGACCCATGAACAACTCTCCCAGCATTCTCCGGGATGCAGACGTACACGCCCTGTGGGAGAGGCGAAACGCGTCGACACACTTCCGTCCGCCGTCTAACATCCTGCGCAACGTCTGGCGAGTGGAACGCACGTTGTGTAGTGGTGCGTTCCAAGCAGCCATCTTTGATGCTTGTATTGAGAGACACTCTGTCATCCTCTGCAGAAAGGCTGTGAGGTTCCTGATGCTGTCCTGGATGTTGTGGAAAACATTGAAAGCCGGTTGGAGGCAATAAATGAACGCTTTATTTTATGTTTTGAACTGTGAGTGGCCTGGTGTTGTTGTAGCACTTTATGAGGGTGTCAGCGGGTGTCAGCGGGATCACACTATGTATGCTTTCCTCTTACACTGCCGTGGAGCTGGTTTGGAAGGAGAAATCAGGAGGGAGAGAGGAAGGAAAACCTAAAGTCCTATGTGGTGGATTCCTGGAGTGTAGGGGGGGGTATTCCTGGAGGGATTCCTGGAGGGGGGGGGTATAGGATCCCTAAAAGTCCTATGTGGTGGAGTGGATTCCTGGAGGCTGTAGGGGGGTATAGGATCCCTAAAAGTCCTATGTGGTGGAGTGGATTCCTGGAGGCTGTAGGGGGGGGTATAGGATCCCTAAAAGTCCTATGTGGTGGAGTGGATTCCTGGAGGCTGTAGGGGGGGTATAGGATCCCTAAAAGTCCTATGTGGTGGAGTGGATTCCTGGAGGCTGTAGGGGGGGTATAGGATCCCTAAAAGTCCTATGTGGTGGAGTGGATTCCTGGAGGCTGTAGGGGGGTATAGGATCCCTAAAAGTCCTATGTGGTGGAGTGGATTCCTGGAGGCTGTAGGGGGGGTATAGGATCCCTAAAAGTCCTATGTGGTGGAGTGGATTCCTGGAGGCTGTAGGGGGGTATAGGATCCCTAAAAGTCCTATGTGGTGGAGTGGATTCCTGGAGGCTGTAGGGGGGGTATAGGATCCCTAAAAGTCCTATGTGGTGGAGTGGATTCCTGGAGGCTGTAGGGGGGGTATAGGATCCCTAAAAGTCCCTAAAAGTCCTATGTAGGGGGGGTATAGGATCCCTAAGTGGTGGATTCCTGGAGGGTGGGAGGCTGGGGATCACCTAAAAAGTCCGTATTGTGGTGGGGAGTGGATTCCTGGAGGCTGTATAGGGGGGGTAGGGGGGGGGATTATAGGGATCCCTAAAAGTCCTATGTGGTGGAGTGGATTCCTGGAGGCTGTAGGGGGGGTATAGGATCCCTAAAAGTCCTATGTGGTGGAGTGGATTCCTGGAGGCTGTAGGGGGGGTATAGGATCCCTAAAAGTCCTATGTGGTGGAGTGGATTCCTGGAGGCTGTAGGGGGGTATAGGATCCCTAAAAGTCCTATGTGGTGGAGTGGATTCCTGGAGGCTGTAGGGGGGGTATAGGATCCCTAAAAGTCCTATGTGGTGGAGTGGATTCCTGGAGGCTGTAGGGGGGGTATAGGATCCCTAAAAGTCCTATGTGGTGGAGTGGATTCCTGGAGGCTGTAGGGGGGGTATAGGATCCCTAAAAGTCCTATGTGGTGGAGTGGATTCCTGGAGGCTGTAGGGGGGGTATAGGATCCCTAAAAGTCCTATGTGGTGGAGTGGATTCCTGGAGCTGTAGGGGGGTATAGGATCCCTAAAAGTCCTATGTGGTGGAGTGGATTCCTGGAGGCTGTAGGGGGGGTATAGGATCCCTAAAAGTCCTATGCGGTGGAGTGGATTCCTGGAGGCTGTAGGGGGGTATAGGATCCCTAAAAGTCCTATGTGGTGGAGTGGATTCCTGGAGGCTGTAGGGGGGTATAGGATCCCTAAAAGTCCTATGTGGTGGAGTGGATTCCTGGAGGCTGTAGGGGGGGTATAGGATCCCTAAAAGTCCTATGTGGTGGAGTGGATTCCTGGAGGCTGTAGGGGGGGGTATAGGATCCCTAAAAGTCCTATGTGGTGGAGTGGATTCCTGGAGGCTGTAGGGGGGGTATAGGATCCCTAAAAGTCCTATGTGGTGGAGTGGATTCCTGGAGGCTGTAGGGGGGGTATAGGATCCCTAAAAGTCCTATGTGGTGGAGTGGATTCCTGAGGCTGTAGGGGGGGTATAGGATCCCTAAAAGTCCTATGTGGTGGAGTGGATTCCTGGAGGCTGTAGGGGGGGTATAGGATCCCTAAAAGTCCTATGTGGTGGAGTGGATTCCTGGAGGCTGTAGGGGGGGTCCTATAGGATCCCTAAAAGTCCTATGTGGTGGAGTGGATTCCTGGAGGCTGTAGGGGGGGTATAGGATCCCTAAAAGTCCTATGTGGTGGAGTGGATTCCTGGAGGCTGTAGGGGGGGTATAGGATCCCTAAAAGTCTTATGTGGTGGAGTGGATTCCTGGAGGCTGTAGGGGGGTATAGGATCCCTAAAAGTCCTATGTGGTGGAGTGGATTCCTGGAGGCTGTAGGGGGGTATAGGATCCCTAAAAGTCCTATGTGGTGGAGTGGATTCCTGGAGGCTGTAGGGGGGGTATAGGATCCCCTAAAAGTCCTATGTGGTGGAGTGGATTCCTGGAGGCTGTAGGGGGGTATAGGATCCCTAAAAGTCCTATGTGGTGGAGTGGATTCCTGGAGGCTGTAGGGGGGGTATAGGATCCCTAAAAGTCCTATGTGGTGGAGTGGATTCCTGGAGGCTGTAGGGGGGTATAGGATCCCTAAAAGTCCTATGTGGTGGAGTGGATTCCTGGAGGCTGTAGGGGGGTATAGGATCCCTAAAAGTCCTATGTGGTGGAGTGGATTCCTGGAGGCTGTAGGGGGGGTAAAGGATCCCTAAAAGTCCTATGTGGTGCAGTGGATTCCTGGAGGCTGTAGGGGGGGTATAGGATCCCTAAAAGTCCTATGTGGTGGAGTGGATTCCTGGAGGCTGTAGGGGGGGTATAGGATCCCTAAAAGTCCTATGTGGTGGAGTGGATTCCTGGAGGCTGTAGGGGGGGTAAAGGATCCCTAAAAGTCCTATGTGGTGCAGTGGATTCCTGGAGGCTGTAGGGGGGGTATAGGATCCCTAAAAGTCCTATGTGGTGGAGTGGATTCCTGGAGGCTGTAGGGGGGGTATAGGATCCCTAAAAGTCCTATGTGGTGGAGTGGATTCCTGGAGGCTGTAAGGGGGGGTATAGGATCCCTAAAAGTCCTATGTGGTGGAGTGGATTCCTGGAGGCTGTAGGGGGGGTATAGGATCTCTAAAAGTCCTAAAAGGCGTTCAGTTCACCAATATCTGGTGAGTGCGGTTTATGTTGGTTACAGCACTGGTGGATGGTGGAAGCACATTATTTAAAGGAGAAGAATTCATATTTTTTTTTTTTTGGTTGAAACACAAAATAATTTCTTTCGGAATAAGGACTTTATGTTTCTTTGGACACTTTTTCTGTTTTTAAATAGTATTTGGATTGGATTATGACGCATAAAATTATGTAGGGTCTGGATTTGCGCTGTTTATAGGATCGTTTATATATTTTGGTGTATTACACTTGTGTACAGCAGCAGTTTATATCATTTTGGGGGCATATTTTTTCTGTGGCGCTGCGGTTTGTGACTACTGATACACTTTCAAAAAGTCTGGACCCCACAGGCACGCTATTCGCACATCGACCGCTGAACCCTTTTCCATCAGGGGCTTCATATCCGGTCTTCTGGGATCCCCCCCCCCCCCCCCCCCCCCTTTCTGCTCATCAACAATTCAGGAATGGAGGCTAGGTCCCCCATATTGGATCCGGCTTTAAGTGGATCACTTTAGTGTTCTCTGAAGCTTCTGGAATTCTGTGGACTATATTGAGAGCGCCCGTCTCTAGGATCACTTTGGCATGCCTTGTTCGTGTAATGGTGGACTATCATTAGACTTCTGTTGGCTGGATTTGTAGAATACGTTTTTTTGTTCTGGATTGTATCTTAAATCTTTAATAAAAATATTGAAAGTAAAAAATTGAGTTTTCCACGACGTGACATGGATGACATAGAAAGTTTTTTTCTTTTTTGTATAACTTTTTCTGAAGGTTTTCCTCTAAGCGGTTTTCTTTCTCTTCCAGAATATGGAGAAGGTCCTCGTCCCATCAGTCACTCTGATTGTTGGCTGTGGTGTCTCCTCGCTCACCCTTCTGCTTCTCATCATCATCTATGTGTCGGTATGGAGGTGAGTTACAGTGAATCCTGGGTGTCCTACGACTAATCATCTCCGACTTACTGCCTTTACTGGGGAGAAACTCATAAAGTGTTTGTCAGGTCTCAGGGAACCCCACCATTTGTTGTGTTACCCACAGCACACAATTCATCAGCATGACCAGGAAAAAGACCTTACATTGGTGGCCAGAATGCTCCTTACTTTGATGTTCAGTGAAGAATCATCCCTTACATTGGGGGTCAGTGAGAAGAATGTCCCTTACATTGGGGGTCAGTGAGAAGAATGTCCCTTACATTGGGGGTCAGTGGGAAGAATGTCCCTTACATTGGGGGTCAGTGGGAAGAATGTCCCTTATATTGGGGGTCAGTGGGAAGAATGTCCCTTACATTGGAAGAATGTTATATCATTGGGGCGTGGGAAGAATGTCCCTTACATTGGGGGTCAGTGGGAAGAATGTCCCTTATATTGTGGGGTCAGTGGGAAGAATGTCCCTTACATATGGGGGTCAGTGGGAAGAATGTCCCTTACATTGGAGGTCAGTGGGAAGAATGTCCCTTACATTGGGGGTCAGTGGGAAGAATGTCCCTTACATTGGGGTCAGTGGGAAGAATGTCCCTTACATTGGGGGTCAGTGGGAAGAATGTCCCTTACATTGGGGGTCAGTGGAAGAATGTCCCTTACATTGGGGTCAGTGGGAAGAATGTCCCTTACATTGGGGGTCAGTGGGAAGAATGTCCCTTACATTGGGGGTCAGTGGAAGAATTGTCCCCTTACATTGGGGGTCAGTGGGAAGAATGTCCCTTACATTGGGGGTCAGTGGGAAGAATGTCCCTTACATTGGGGGTCAGTGGGAAGAATGTCCCTTACATTGGGGGTCAGTGGGAAGAATGTCCCTTACATTGGGGGTCAGTGGGAAGAATGTCCCTTACATTGGGGTCAGTGGGAAGAATGTCCCTTACATTGGGGGTCAGTGGGAAGAACGTCCTTACATTGGGGGTCAGTGGGAAGAATGTCCCTTACATTGGTGATCAGTGGGAAGAACGTCCCTTACATTGGGGGGATCAGTGGGAAGAATGTCCCTTACATTGGGGGTCAGTGGGAAGAATGTCCCTTACATTGGGGGTCAGTGGGAAGAATATCCCTTACATTGGGGGTCAGTGGGAAGAATCACCAACTTACATGTGGTGCAGTAAGTGGGACTACAATTTCTCCTTACAATATGGGATCAGTGGGAAGAATGTCCCTTACATTGGGGTCGAGGGAAGAATGCTCCCTTACATTGGGGTTCAGTGGGAAAGAATGTCCCTTACACTTGGGGGTCAGTGGCCCAAGAATTCCCTTACATTGGAGGTAGTCATTGGGACCAATAGGTTCCCTTACATTGGGGTGTGTTGTAGGTCTAGTGCCGGAATGAAATGTCCCTCTTAATACATTGGGGGTCAGTGGCGAAGAATGTCCCTTACATTGGGGGTCAGTTGGGAAGAACTGTCCCTTACATTGGGGGAGCTCATGGCGAAGAAGTCCCTTACATTGGGCCTGATCAGTAAAGGGAAGAATGTCCCTTACATTGGGGGGTCAGTGGGAAGAATGCCCCTTACATTGGGGGTCCAGTGGGAAGAATGTCCCTTACATTGGGATCAGTGGGAAGAATGTCCCTTACATTGGTGATCAGTGGGAAGAATGTCCCTTACATTGGTGATCAGTTGGAAGAAGAATGTCCCTTACATTGGGGGGTCAGTGGAAGAATGTCCCCTTACATTGGGTGTCAGTGGGAAGAATTTGTCCCTTACCATTGGGGTGTCAGTGGGGAAGAAAGTCCCTTACCAATAGTTGTTGACCAGTATTTCGTGCGGAAGAACCCCTGCTTACATTGGGGGGCCGACTCATCCATGGGAAAGAATGCCCTTACATTGGGGGTCCCGTGGAAGAATGTCCCATATTACATTGGGGGTCAGTGGGCATAGAATGGTCCCTTACATTGGGGGGTCAGTGGAAGAATGTCCCCTTACATGAGGGCAGTCAGTGGGAAGAATGTCCCTTACATTGGGGGTCAGTGGAAAATGTCCCTTACATTGGGGAGTCAAGTGGAAGAATGTCCCCTTACATTGGGGTCAGTGGGAAGAATTGTCCTCTTACATTGGGCGGTTGTCATGTGGGAAGAGCATGTCCCTTACATTTGGCAAGTCCAGTGGGAAGAACGTCCTTTACATGGGGGTCATTGGGAATGATTGTCCCTTACATTGGGGGTCATGTGGAATATGTCCCTTACATTGGGGGTCAGTGGGAAGAATGATCCCTTACAATGGGGTTGTCAGTGGGAAGAATGTCCCTTACATTGGGTGGTCAGTGGGAAGAATGGTCCCAATACATTCGGGATCAGTGGGAAGAATGTCCCTTACATTGGTGTTCAGTGGGAAGAATGTCCCCCCTTACATTGCGGGGCGGTCAGTGGGAAGAATGCCCCCTTACATTGGGCGTCAGTGGGAAGAATAGTCCCTTACATTGGGGGTCAGTGGGAAGAATGACCCATACATTGGGGGTCAGTGGTAAGAATGGTCCTTCAACATTGGTGGTCAGTGAGGAAGAAATGTCCCCTTACATTGGTGGTCAGTTGGAAGAATGTCCCCCTACATTGGTGGTCAGGTGGAAGAGAATGTTCCCTTACATTGGTGATCAGTGGGAAGAATGTCCCCTTACATTGGTGATACAGTGGAAGAATGTCCCCTTACATTGGTGATCAGTGGGGAATGAAACGTCCTTTACATTTGGTGATCAGATGGGAAGAATGTTCCCTATACATTGGTGGTCAGTGGGAAGAATGTCCCTTACATTGGTGGTCAGTTGGGAAGAATGTCCCCTTACATTGGAGGGTCAGAGGGAAGAATTCCCATTACATTGGGGGTCAGTGTTAAGAATGTCCCTTACATTCGGGGGGTCAGAGGGACGAAATGTCCCTTACACCGGTGGTCAGTGGGAAGAATGTCCCATACATTGGTGGGTCAGTGGGAAGAATTCCCCTTACATTTGGGGGTCAGTGTGGAAGAATGTTCCCTTACCCATTGGAGGTCAGTGGGAATGAATGTTCCTGTACATTGGGGGTCAGTGGAAAAAGAAAAGAACGTCCCTTACATTGGGTGTCAGTGAGGCAAGAACCATATGTCCCTTACAATTGGGGGTCATTGTTAAGAATGTCCCCCTTACATCGGGGGTCAGTGGGAAGAATGTCCCCTTACATTGGTTGGTCAGAGGGATGAATGTCCCCTTAACATTGATGGTCAGTGGAAGAAAGCCCCTTACAATTGGCGTCAGTGGGAAAGAATGTCCCCTTACACATTGGGGGTCAGTGGGAAGAAACGTCCCTTAACATTGGTGAGTCCAGTGGGAAGTACATGACAGTCCCTTTTAACATTGGGGGTCAGTGGGAGAATGTCCCTTACATTGGTGGTCAGGAAAGGAAGATATGTCCCTTCCATTTGGAGGTCAGTGGGAAGAATGTCCCTTACATTGGTGGTTCAGTTGTTAGAAATGTCCCTTACATCGGGGTCCAGTGGGGAAGAATGTCCCCTTACATTGGTGGTCAGAAGGGAGGATGAAGAATGTCCCTTACATTGGGGGGTCAGTGTGAAGAATGTCCCTTACACGGGGGTCAGTGGAAGAATGTCCCCCTTACAATTGGTAGGTCAGTGGGAAGAATGTCCCTCTTACATTGGTGTTTCAGGAGGAAGAATGTCCCTTACATTGGAGGTCGTGGGAAATGTCCCTTACATTGGTGGTCCAGTATGGAAGAATGTCCCATACAATTGGTGGTCCAGTGGGAAAGAATGTCCCACTTACATTGGATGACAGGAGGAAGAATGTCCTTACATGGGGACAGATGGGGTAGAATGTCCCATACAATCGGGGGGTCAGTCGGGGAAGAATGTCCCCTTACATTGGTGGTCAAGTGGGAAAGAATGTCCCCCTTACATCAGTTGTTATATTCCGATCGCTCTCTGGGGGTCATTGGGAAGAATGTTCCCCTTACATTGGGGGTCAGGTGGGAAGAATTGTCCCATACATTGGGGGTCAGTGGGGAAGAATGTCCCATACACATTGGTGGGTCAAAGGTTGGGAAGAATGTCCATTACAATTGGGTGTCAGAGTGGGATAAGAATGTCCCTTACAATTGGGGGTCATAGGGAAAGAATGGTCCCATTACCATTTGGGAGGTCTGTGGGATGAATGAGTCCCTTACATTGGTGGAGTCCCCGGAGGAAGAAATGTCCCTTACATTGGTGGTCCGTGGGAAGAATGTCCCTTTTACATCGGGGGGTTCCAGTGGGAAGAATGTCCCTTACATGTGTGGGTTTAGTGGGGAAGAATGTTTCCCTTTACTTTGGGGGTCCAGTGGAAGAATGTCCCCTTACAAATTGGGGGTTAGTGGGAAGAATGTTCCCTTACATTGTTGGGAGTCAGTGGGAAGGAATGTCCCCTTACATTGATGATCAAGTGGGAAGAATCCCCCTTCCATTGGGGTCAGATGGTGGAAGAATGTCCCTTACATTTGGAGAGGTCATTTGGAAGAATGTTTCCCTTACATTGGTGGTCCGTGACGAAGAAACGTCCCCTTACATATTGGGGGTCAGTGGGAAGAATGTGTCCTTACATTGTATATTCAGCAGTATTTGCCCTCCTTGACATTAATGGTCCATAGGGAAATGTCTCTTTACATTTGTGGTCCCCCCCCCCCCCCATGTTGAAAGTCCTGCTTGGAATAATATCTGGTAGACGTGTTCTTTTAGATTGGAAGTTACATTGGTGGCAGGTGGGAGAAGAACCTCTTTAAATTGATGGTCAAAGAGAAGGGCCCTTTACATTGGCATTCAGTATTTAAGTGCCCAGTTACAATGGTGGACTGGTGGGTGAAGAGCACCTTTCACTGATTTGTTCTGTAGAACAAATGTCCCACTGCATTGGTGGTCAGTGGAGAAGGACCCTCTACCATTGATGATCAGTAGAAGCGTGACCCCTTACATTGGTGGCCAGTTGGAGACATGCCACTTAAATTTTTGATGGTCAGGAGAATTGTAATATACATTGGGCAGTCAATGATGAAAGACACCCCTACGCTGGGAGAAGGGCCCCTGCTACTGGCGGTTAGTGAATAATTGATTGTACAGAGAAGAAAGACCCATTTACCCTGTGGTCAGTGAGAAGAAATTCTCTCCTTGCAACCAGCTACAAAGATCACTGGTGTCGGTGGTCACTTTCCTATGAGAAGAGAGGAGAGACCACACTGGTTCCACACGCCTGGTGATTAGCAATGATGCCAGAACTTGGCAGGCACCACCAGGCTGTTTATATCAGTTACTACTCAACCTCTGCCGGAATTTTGGAGTTCCTCAGCATCTCTGGCTGAGAAAGTCTGGATTTGTTCTGTGGCAGGACTCGACCAGTGACAGTGCTGGTCCTCACAACAACAGACTGAAAACCAGACGTGTAAAAACAATCCGCATACATGTATTATATCAAGAACTACTGTGAGAGGCTCTTCATGTAACCTGGACTGCCATTACCAACTGTTCTACAGACTATTTTATATGGAAGTCGGGAAGGATTGAGATATTCTCTGAAGTTCTCTCTCATTGTTTCCCAGCAAGCCAAGTTCTGAATTGTATTTGATATCTTAGAATGAAATAATTGAACGCCAGAATAATCCCGCGTTATGCGTCATCTGCACAGCTGTGGAAACGCTTCACAAACTGTGATGGATATAAAATATCTGCATCTTCCTTGTTATAACCACTGAGTAGAGGTTCATATTTCACATTCCAGATACTTTCCCCCCCAAAGTTCAAAGTCTTCTTTGCTGTATTAGATTTTATTTTTGCTGAAAAAAAGTCACTGATAGCTTGCTTGTCATTGACCTACTTCAAGTAGGTTGACTTCCTTCTTACCTGCTGCTGACCTCCTTCTAACCAGCAGCTGACTTCCTTCTGACCACAGCAGAGCTGACCTCCTTCTGACCAGCAGCTGACTTCTTCTGACCAGCAGCTGACCTCCTTCTGACCAGCAGCTGACCTCCTTCTGACCAGCAGCTGACCTCCTTCTGACCAGCAGCTGACCTCCTTCTGACCAGCAGCTGACCTCCTTCTGACCAGCAGCTGACCTCCTTCTGACCAGCAGCTTACCTCCTTCTGACCAGCAGCTGACCTCCTTCTGACCAGCAGCAGCTGACCTCCTTCTGACCAGCATCTGACTTCCTTCTGACTAGCAGCTGACTTCCTTCTGACCAGCAGCTGACTTCCTTCTGACCAGCAGCTGACCTCCTTCTGACCAGCAGCTGACTTCCTTCTGACCAAGCAGCATGACCTCTTCTGACCAGCAGTTGACTTCCTTCTGACCAGCAGTTGACTTCCTTCTGACCAGCAGTTGACTTCCTTCTGACTTAAGCCACCCAGGCATGGAGTGAAATTCGGCCGGTCCACCAGGGACTGGACGAATTTTAATCCATGTGTGGGGCAGGTTGATTGTATTAATCTATCAATCGGCAACTGGTGTACAACCAGCCTGTTGGGTTTTTCCCAATCAATTAGTGCCGCCATCTATAGCGGGCAACACTGATCATTGTCTTCTAATGGCAGGGAAGACTCCCTGCTGTCAGCATACAGAGGTTCAACGGGAAGCATTTCCCCATCCACATCGAGTGTGTGAATGGGGGACTTGCTGGTTGAACAGGAAAAAAAAATACAGCATATGGCCAGCTTTACAGTTGACCTCCTTCTGGCCTTCAGTTGACCACCTTCTGATGAGCAGTTGACTTTCTTCTATCTCCTTTTGACCTTCAGTTGACCTCCCAGTTAGCAGTTTTCTTCCTTCTGACTTACTGTTGACTTCCTTCTGACCTGCAGTTGACCTCCTTCTGATTAACAGTTGAGTATCTCCTGATTTGCAGTTGACTTCCTTAATGACTATGACAGTTGACTTGATTTCCTTCTGACTTGCAGTTATTCTCTTTCTGAATTTCAGTTAAACTTTTTTTTACCTCCTCCTGACTTGTAGGCAACCTCATTATGACCTGCATTAAACCTCCATGTGACATGCAGTGGACCTCCTGACTTAGTTGACAGGAGGCGCAAGGGGCTCCTATGTAATTCTCATCTTGGTGAGGAATCAGAAAGCTTAAAAAGTTACTAAACATTTCTGATTACGGGAAACATTCTCAAGTTGTGGAAAAGGGAGGGGGGAGGAACCAGGAGAGAAAAAGTTCTTGTAATAGATGAGGGTCTTCTTTAAATCAGCCATCAGAGGTGCTAACCACTGAGCCACTGTGCTGCCACCAGTGGTGGGTACGTCTGCCTTGAAGCACTGGGTTCTCGGTTCAGACCCTGACCAGGACACTATCTACATAAAGCTTTCATGTTCCCTCTGTACTTGCCTGGGTTTCCTCCAGGTACTCAGATTTCTTCCCACACCCCAAATACATGCTGGTAGGTAAACTGAGCTCATAATATTACCTCCCCCACGCGCCTCTTCCCCTGATTTCTCGGTCAGGATCATTAGCACCACCATCAACCCATCCCGTCATTTCAGGGTGCTGGGTGTTACCCTGGATTCTGAACTATCCTATCAGGCCCCCCATCCAATCACTGTCCAAGCATGTCACCTCAACCTCCGCAACATCTCCAGAATACACCCCTTTTTAACCAATGAGACCACAAAGCTCCTAATTCACTCCCTGGTTATCTCTCACCTCGACTACTGCAACTCCCTCCTCATTGGATGACCTTTACATAGGCCACACCCCCTCCAGTCCATCATGAATACTGCTGCCAGGCTCATCCACCTTACCAATCATTCAGTGTCCTCCACCCCTCTCTGCCAATCCCTCCACTGGTCCTCCTTTCAGTGTCCTCCACCCCTCTCTGCCAATCCCTCCATTGGTCTCCATTCAGTGTCCTCCACCCCTCTCTGCCAATCCCTCCACTGGCCTCCACTCAGTGTCCTCCACCCCTCTCTGCCAATCCCTCCACTGGTCTCCATTCAGTGTCCTCCACCCCTCTCTGCCAATCCTCCACTGGCTCCACTCAGTGTCCTCCACCCCCTCTCTGCCAATCCCTCCACTGGCCTCCATCAGTGTCCTCCACCCCTCTCTGCCAATCCCTCCACTGGCTTCCATTCAGTGTCCTCCATCCCTCTCTGCCAATCCTCCACTGGCCTCCATCAGTGTCATTCACCCCTCTCTGCCAATCCCTCCACTGGTCTCCATTCAGTGTCCTCCACCCCTCTCTGCCAATCCCCACTGGCCTCCACTCAGTGTCCTCCACCCCCCTCTCTGCCAATCCCTCCACTGGTCTCCATTCAGTGTCCTCCACCCTCTCTGCCAATCCCTCCACTGGCCTCCACTCAGTGTCCTCCACCCCTCTCTGCCAATCCCTCCACTGGTCTCCATTCAGTGTCCTCCACCCCTCTCTGCCAATCTCTCCACTGGCCTCCACTTCAGTGTCCTCCACCCCTCCTCTGCCAATCCCTCCACTGGCCTCCATTCAGTGTCCTCCACCCCTCTTTGCCAATCCCTCCACTGGCTTCCATTCAGTGTCCTCCATCCCCTCTCTGCCAATCCCTCCACTGGCCTCCATTCAGTGTCCTCCACCCCTCTCTGCCTGCCTCCATCCCTCAGTGTCATCCACCTCTCTTTGCCAATCCCTCCACTGGCTTCCATTCAGTGTCCTCCACCCCCTCTGCCAATCCCTCCACTGGCCTCCATTCAGTGTCCTCCACCCCTCTCTGCCAATCCCTCCACTGGCTTCCATTCGCGTCCAACGAATAAAATTCAAAATACTAACAACAACTTACAAAGCCATCCACAACTCTGCCTCCAGCTACATCACCAACCTGGCCTCAAAATATCAACCAAACCGCTCTCTTCGATCCTCCCAAGACCTTCTGCTCTCTAGTTCCCGTGTCACCTCCTCCCATGCTCGCCACCAGGACTTCTCCCGAGCTTCTCCCATCCTATGGAACTCCCCTCCCCAATCCCTCCGGCTGTCTCCTAATCTATCCACCTGCAAAACCTTTCTCTTTAAAGAAGCCTATCCTGCTTCTACCTAGTAAACTGCCATTTATTTCCTCCATCAGCCCCTCCCCCACAGCTATTACCTTTTGTATCACTCAACCCCTCCTCCTAGATTGTAAGCTCCCAGTTCAGGCCCCTCTGTTTCTCTTGTACCAAATTGTATTGTAACTGTCATGTCCGCCTTCATTTTGTACATCGCTGCGCACACTGTTGGCGCCATATAAATCCTGTATAATAATAATAGTATGCATGTCTGAGATGAAGAGATCGGGGGAAGGTAACCTGGGCACTCCAGCTGTTGTGAAACTAAATTCCCCATGATGCACTGCAAGCCTCTGACACCAACAGCCATGGCTCTCAGAGTCAGAGGCATGATGGGATTTGTAGTTTCACCACAGCCGGAGTGCCCAGGTTGCTGACCCCCGAATACAGTTGTAAGCTCCTCGAAGGCGGGGCTCTATGAATTGACATAACTTTATTAATGCCTGAAATAAACGAACAATAAACAATTCCCATCTCTGTTTCTAGGTACATCCGGTCGGAGCGCTCCGTCATTTTGATCAACTTCTGCTTGTCCATCATTTCCTCGAATGCCTTAATACTTGTTGGGCAGACGCAGACCAGGAACAAGGTATGATATGTGGATGGAGAGGATGACTTGTACCTTGGAAGTGTCGTGTTTCAGGCAGACTTGAGCTTTGCTAATGCAGGACTAAGCGGGTTCCTGTAGGGGCGTCCTTCACACGTTCCACCATTCGTTACTGCTGCACACTGCGAGAAGTGCCGACAGAGAATGGCACCCTAAAGCAGGGGTGTCAAACTGGTGGCCCTCCAGCTGTTGCCAAACTACAACTCCCATCATGCCTCTGCTTTTAGGAGCCATGCTTGTAACTGGCAATCTTGCAATGCCTCATGGGACTTGTAGTTTGGCAGCTGGAGGGCCGCCAGTCTGACACCCGTGCCCTAAAGCATTAGCATAGCTGCTGCCATGAGTCCTGCACCGCGGGGGGGGAGGGGCCACAACATCGCGTCTAAATAAATGGGTTCCTCAATGCAAAGCTCGTTATCATGTAAAATGCTGACGCTGTAATGCAACCCAACGGAACACCTCGATGTGTGCGGAACCCGGAGCCACGCAGGCTTCTAATCCCTCTATGTTCTGGTCTGTGATAGATTTGTGTGTAGAAAATGCCTCGGAATACCTGACTGCTGCTTCTTGTCCTGACCCTGCAGAGCTCTGTGATGACGCAGCTGAGTAGCAGACACACCCCTCAGTACAACTGTCACTACACCAATGTGACCCGGCTTAGCCATGGCGATTGGCTGCTTCATCACTGGAAATGAGGGACGTGAGTTGTGATTGGTTGTTGGATCATAGGAGGACGGGATTAAGTTGTGATTGGTTGTTGCATCATTGAAGCAGGGGGAGTGAGCTGTGATTGGTTGCTTCATCACTGGAAATGGGGGACGTGAGTTGTGATTGGTTGCTTCATCATTGGAGTTGGGGAAGTGAGCTGTGATTGGTTACTTCATCATTGGAGTTGGGGAAGTGAGTTTTGATTGGTTGCTTCATCAGTGGAGTTGGGACAGTGAGTTGTGATTGGTTGCTTCATCAGTGGAGTTGGGACAGTGAGTTGTGATTGTTGCTTCATCATTGGAAGTGGGGAAGTGAATTGTGATTGGTTGCTTCATGATTGGTGTCAGGGGATTAAATTATGATTGGTTGCTTCATCATTGGAGTTGGGGAATCCCCAATCCCCGGAAGTGCTGGGCAGGGGCAGACTGACAACTCATGGGGCCCCCGGGACAATAGGGGATCATGGGGCCCCTGTGTCCTTGCCCAAACTCAAAAAAGCCTATGAAAAAGGTACCAGGGGCATCTCATGGGGCCCCCTACTGACCCTGGGCCCTCAGGCAGTGCCCGAGTTTCCAAATGGTCAGTCCTCCCCCGGTGCTGGGTGTGTTTCTTTTGCTTCGAGTGTCCAGATGGACCGCCATGACTGAAGTACAGGTTCTCTTTAAAGGAAAGGTTACTAAAACAATTAGAATTTTTAAAAAATGTAATCTTACCTACCTAGGCCCCCGCCTACTCTGCGTTTTCCACTCCCATCTCCTTAGACTATGACCTCACTGGGAGAGTCACTCGTAGAGTTTAAAACCTCCCAAAAAAAAGAAGTCACCACCCGTAATATTTAATGAAGAACCCGCTAATCCTGGTTGAGTCCATAACTAGTCCTTTTTCGTCTGGTTCATAGAGTCCCCCCCCCCTCCACTCGGCCAACGTCTGTATATGGGGTGATCTTTGGTGGCCCTGGATGTGGGCATGGTCTCACCTCTGACCCCTACCATTCTCCTGGAGGACCTGTATCTGCGAAACGCGTCCACGGCCCTGCTATGATTCCCACCCAATAGGAGAATTGTGCATGTCGATCATCGATAACACTGGGTATAGGGCCGGAGGTCATTGGGGGTCGTGTGGTTAGAGGATGAAATTGTAAACGGTTTATCATACCTCCACTTTTTATGATTTCATCTTCTTGTTTTGATACATATTTTATTACAATGTTTTCTTTGAATGATTTCTTGGATAGCTCGAAGGTCTTGTTGGAATGTTTTGTGCGCTGATGTTATCCAATAGGAATGCAGATCTGGTGGGATCCCCGTGGCTTGCACAGATCAGTAGACAAGGGCCCTATGTTGGGACCGGCGTGGTTGTGTTACATTGTAGGTTGAGCCCCTCCTGCCCAAGCGCTGACCCAGAATTCCCGAGCCACACATCAGAGGCTCCATGTCAGACGTGAGCGGACCTCATTCTTCCTGCCTTATCTCTGCACTACACGCGTGTTCGGGCTCTCATGTCCTCCGTCCATCACGCCAATTCACAGCGGATGCATTTCCAATGAATGCCCCTAATTAGTCAGAGCAGCAATAAAACGGAGATGGCTGAATGTGTTCCCAGGAGGCCCAGAGCTTCGGCATGTCTGTAATTAACACGCATCATCAATGAACCCCGCGGAATATTCTGCACGGATGACCAGAAGGAGCCGTGATTGGCTGACAAAGACCAGAAGGACCCGTGATTGGCTGACATGATTGGCTGACGGGGTCGTGCGTCTGATCTGAAAGTATAGGTAGGATAGTCAGTGTCACCGCACAGCTCACCGCCGTATGAGGTGTCACCAGAACAGGAAACGGGGGGAGGTTCCTTCAATGTGGACACTTGTTAGGGGAAAGGCCAGATCTAGGCTGTCTGATCTGGGGGTGCAGAACAAAAATCTGGGGGCATCCCATCAACTCACATCAGAGTCCCACATCACACCAGAGTCATCTGTCCCCCTTCACCAAGAGTCCCACCTTCCACCTAGGATGCCGAAATACACATTGATTGTTACTTTGTATCTCTCCATCTCCCGTCTGATCGATGTTTATAAACAATGTTACTTTGTATCTCTCCATCCCCCGTCTAGATCGATGTTTATAAACAATGAGTTACTACTCTGTATCTCTCCATCTCCGTCTGATCGATCTTTATAAACAATTGTTTACTTTGTATCTCTATCTCCCGTCTGATCGATGATGTTTACATAAACACATGTTACTATTGTACATCGATCCATCTCCCGGTCTGATCGATGTTTATAAACAATGTTTATTTGTATCTCTATCTCCCGATCTGATCGATGTTTATAAAAATGTAACATCTGTATCTCTCCATCCCGTCTGACGATGTTTTATAAACAATGTTACATTGTGTTATCCTCATCTCCCGTCTGATCGATGTTTATAAACAATGTTACATTGTTATCTCTATCATCCCGTCTGATCGATGTTAGAGAAACAAAGTAACTTTGTATATAAACTCCATCTCCCGTCTGATCGATGTTTATAAAAATGTTACTTTGTTTATAAACATCCTCCCTCCCGTCTGATCGATGTTTATAAACAATGGTTACTTTGTATCTCTTTATATCATCGATCTGATCGATGTGTTTATAACAATGATACTTTGATCTCTCTATCTCCCCGTCTGATCGATGTTTATAAACAATGTTACTTTGTATCTCTCAATCGGAGAGTCTGATCGAAGTTTATAAATTGTTACTTTGTATCTCTCCTCCCGTCTGATCGGATGTTTATAAACAATGTTTACTTTGTATCTCTCTATCTCCCGTCTGATCGATGTTTATAAAAAATGTTACTTTGTATCTCTCTATCTCCCGTCTGATCGATGTTTATAAACAATGTTACTTTATAAACTCTCTATCTCCCGTCTGATCGATGTTTAGTAAACAATGTTACTTTGTATCTCTCCATCAGACGGGTCTGATCGATGTTTAAAGTAAACATCCAATGTTACTCTTGTATCTCTATCTCCAGTCTGATCGGGAGTTTATAGAAGATACAATGTTACTTTGTATAAACTATCTCCCGTCTGATCGATGTTTATAAAACAATGTTACATTGTATTAGTAAACATCCCCCGACTGATCGATGGTTTATAAACAAAGTAACATTGT